AAAATGTGCTCCGTCCATGACTTCTCTACATACAGAAGTAACATGCCATAACTCAGCATTACTTCATACATTTTTAGCTTCATAATGATGATAGTAGAAAGAGACAAAGAATTAAGCTTTTATTATTATCATAGAAAGCACAGTATTACAATATTCAAAGAGTGATTATACAGAAATAATCTGCAAATGGGTTTGGCAGAAAGTCTTGGATTGATGTATTACACCAGCTGCCCAAGAATCAACTCATAGCAGACAGAGCTACTTCAACAACCCACTGCCCCCTCTTTCACACATTTTAAAACCAAAAACTAGAAGCATTCTGATAAGTGTAATTACAAGTTACCTGAGTTTTATGTTCTTAACTTTATTCTAGGCTGACAGAAAATCAGGGCCTGGATTACACAGCAATTATGAACACAAAATACATACCAAATGCAGAGGTAATAATACTTGTATTATAGAGCTTTTAATTTGTTTTTCCTCCTCATCACCAGTCTCATAAGGAAGTGAGACAGATGAAAATTCTTCTAAGAAAAAAAGTTACATCATAATCTGGTACGAACACACACGTTGAAAATAGGAGATTAGCACCCCGAAAATATTAACAGTGGCAGACAGACATTATGCTGGACAGCTTTACGCCTTATTTTCTCTCCTCCCTTATCTGCTTCATTTCAAAACCAGCACAGAAAACCGAACACATTCTGCTCAGGTTGGCATGATCCAGGAAGACAAACACAACCTGACAAATAGGAAACAGCACGCGGCTCGGGGTATTATCCAAAGGTCGCATTTGTGCTGATATGGTGAAAATGAGTCGGAGTCACAGCAGGTTCTCCAGTGTGAGAGTACCTGCATGGGCTCTGCCTATGCCGCTAGCAGCAGGCATCCACCATGGCTCCAGCTGGCTGGGGAGCTTGGCGTGCGCAGGGCACCCTCTGCAGTCACGGGGGTCCCCACGGGCACCTGGGGACGACCCTCAACAGCCAGAGATCATTGCCATGCTTCTGCCCCTCACCCAGCTCGGTTTAAAGCAGAGCTTGAACTACTCTACCAGGGCGACAAAGTCCCACACCACTATCGAAGCTCTTCCGCAGCCTCTCCCTCCTCACCCGGCTGTCTGGAGCAGCGGTGGTTATCGCCAGGACATGCGGACGGTGACCAGGATAAAGCACGCCGTCACGTTCACACCCCACAGTGGCCGCAAGCTCCGCAAGCGCTCCTCTGTGGCACTAATTGCACACGCGCAAGTCCTTCCTTCAGCAACATCCTCCCTGTAACTGGAGGGATCAAACGCAGCACAGCAAACCTCACCTAAACCAAATGTCATGCACCCACTTAATTGTCACCTTTGTTAAATAATGCAGTCGTCCCGGAAGCGGTTCTCCAACAGCCCTGTCAGCCAGCCCTAGCATACACGCTGTCCCCCAGAGAAGCGAGGCACAGTGGGTAGGCTGGGGCAGCATGCAGCGGCAGTAAATAACCCTGAGCTTGCTTTGTTCCTTCATAAAATAAATGATTAATAGCTCAGTATAGTCAGTCTGCTATTCAAGGCTTGCTGAAAACTTTTGATCAGTTTGATTCATTAACCTTTTAAACTGCCTCTAAAAGAGGCTTAAAATCTGAAGGAGAAGCAAAATTTTAAAATGGACACTTCAATTTTATCCATAAATCCTGATTTTTGACAAACTGAGCTAAGCATTGAGACACTCTGCTCCTCTTTAGAGGCACTCAGCATCTCAGTCGGGTGCCGAGGAAGAAGTACCAAGTTAAAATAAAGCTGATGTAGACAAACAAACCCACGTTCATCTTAAAATTCAAAACCCATCAGGGCTGGGGGGAGAAAATGGCACTTCTTTGTGATTCTTAAGCACTTGGCCGATTTGCAGGTGGCTTCCCAACTGTCTCTTTATTTCCTTTGGTTTTAATGCTAATAAAAAGGAACACAAACAGGGGACTCAGTTCCCCACATAATGCACTGGGGGAGGGCAGGGAGTGTAACTTATGTATCCGAAAAGTCTGACTCAGACAAATTACTTCTAGTTCATTTCCTTACTACACGCCCGCATTGTTCCAACACCCCCGCAGCATAAGGGGTTCATCCCCAGCTATCTGGTCACAGAAACAGCAGTGCGGGCTAATGCCGTTAAAGAACGGTTCCAATTACTTCCCTGGGGAAAGAAGTGACTTGCAGCTTAACGTCCTGCCCCAGCACAGCGGGAAAACCAACCGTCCGCAAACGCCCGGCTAATGGCTGCTGCTTGACGGGACCCGCTCCTGGGATGAGCTGCAGTTTGTCTTCCAGGGACGGCAGCTGGTTCCTGGATCAGGAGTACAGATGGTTTGAGGCTCAGGCACAATTTGCTTTGAAAGTGACGGTGGTGGTAGATTCCCAAGAGAAAAAGAGTGTTTTGAACCAAGGACAACTGATGGCCAGTGCTGCCAGGTTGACACCAGAAAGTTGCTATTGGCTTGTTTTTGCCATCTAGAGAGGACGGAGATGCTGCGGTAGCATAAAAAGGACAGGAAGGTCACTTGTCCTTCGCGTGGCCAGAGAAGTGCTCCACAAGCAGCCGTATGACTCCGCTGGCAGAACTATTAGCAGAAGAGAATGATTTCACCTCTAAGGGAATCACAAGCCTTTCTCAGAGGAAGGAAAGCCAGCTATAAATGAAAGAGGTTAAAAACTTCCTATAGACACGCGACTCGCATAACCGGCCTGCACCGTCTTTTGCTACAATAATTACACAGTCAGGGATTTGCAAGTCTAATAGTTCTAGGGGGAAACTCTCAAGCCATGTCTGCCACATTCTGAAAGGGGTTTCCGCAATCCCATCAAGGCTTGTAGGAATTCAGCAATGTTAGCAGAATATTAACATTCTTATCTGGAACAGCATCGAGGCTTCCACAGAACAGCGCTGCTCGCCCTGCTTCGACAGCAGTGGTGGAAATAAAGACAGGATGTTTATGAAGACATCTGGCCTCACCTGTAGCTTCAGTATTTTTTCTGTACTTGAATCCTTAAGCTTTTCTGCACCAAACAAAATGTTTAAATACAAATAAAGCCAATTCCTAACTTCCATAGCTTTCCCGGGGTCTATCTAATTAAATACTGAACGGTGTTCAAATTCAGACCGCAACAGCGGGTGATGGTGAAAGCAGAAGGTATCACGGACAGCTATTACGGCAAAGCAGCATCTCGTCTTGTGGGCACAATGGCATGCATTTGCACGGGATGAGCATGAAGAAGCATCCGCCTCTACACCATAAGATCTCACGGTGAATGGAGTCAGATTCAGCCTCAGATTCAGTTCAAGAGCTGGACAACTCTATTCCTTCTCGACCCGAGGCACTCGGGACATGATTCAATCCCAAACATCACAGCACCAGACAAACTGTGGGAAGGGGAACATTTAACTCTCCCTCTTGCTGACACAGAGAGTAGGAAAATAAAGAGCAAAGCAGCTCTCAGAAGAGGTGTAATCGTAATAGAAGAGCTCAGGAGGACAAGGAAAAATGACTCAAATTGAGAATCTTTTCCTATTCAGAAGGCACCTGAACTTAGATGTGCTGTTTCAGTCATACCATTAAACATGACAAACTGCTAGAGCCTGGAGTGTAAAGAGACTGCAAAAGATGATCCTCAGTAGGATTATGAAATGACAAGGTCAGGTCAGGATGGAAAAGTGGATGGGTACAGTGAGAGGTATAAAAGGAGCAAATAAAATAGCCCCGATTGAGAAAAAAGGGAACAGTTAGCGCAGGGTGCTCAATGACCCTCTTGTGATATCATCACATATAACCAGTGTGTCAGGAATTATTTTAATATACATCATTAAGTGAATGGCATAGTGTTATACGGCAGCGTGCATGCTTTGTCTATTAACAGTTTGATTTTCTTAATTTTAAAGCAGTTTTTGTTCTCTCAGCTATCTAGTCAATCTTCTGTTAAATCCCAGTGTGTGCTGCACTATTCCTGGGGCTCAGCAGTCTACTTTTCAGAGGAAGATTCACTCCTATGTTCATCCATGGCCTCAACCTGGCTCAGCGACAAGCCTGCACAAACTACAGGTACATTCAAGTCTGATTACAGCTAACACATGCCACTGCTGTGGAGGGTAGATTCTGGACCTAAGAGAAACCCCTGTGCTTCTCTTCCACCAAAATAAAAGTGCATGGTTAGAGTGTCGCTTGCTTCGACGCACGAAGCACCCAGCGTGATATCTGAGGGCGTGCAATGCGCCTCAGCCTGTTTTCAAAGGAGCCCGAGTTGCGTAACTGTTTTTGGTATTTAGTTCAAGCAGCTTTTAAAAACTTCACAAATAAGTTTAAAATAATTACAGGGTATTAGTGTACTCTGCAGAGGGACAGATTCGGCCCAAGTGCATGAAAGAAACGGAGCAAACAATAGTCCTTCTGAGCCTGATTTACCAGGCTTGTACCAGACAATCTTAACAGTTTTATTCCCAAACATCTTACTGTCTTCCTGAGGGAAAACTGTTGAGAAATTCTCTTAGGGAGCACACAACTGTCCTTGTCATAGTTTAAAAAAGATTTCCAGTCATCCACAGAAATCAGAAAGTTATGTCCCTGCTTTCAGACCTGAGCAGGTCCCCCACTCCCCAGGACACTACAGTGAGCATAGCAGCACAGAAAAACACTCCTGTCTTGCAAACATTCAGACAATCCCTAGATCACTTTTTTCATGATTAAATATACTCCCCACTTACTGTCAGGCTGTCATCTTATATTTAGACTCTTGTAGGGAAAATAAGGGCTCTTGTGAGAAAAAAAAAAAACAAAAAAACCCAGACTTATTTTAACTCAACATTCCCAAGGCATTTTACTCCTACTGAGGACTGTAACAAGTTTCTGTGGGACATTTACTTGCTCTAAACAGAGCCAAGAAAAGACTGATCAGAACATTTGGGCCAGAACACAAGAGGCAAGTGTGCTTGATAGATGTTATTGAAAAATAAAAAAATCACCAAGGTGATTTTGTGTTTTGCAATGAACCATCTACTTGCTGTCTGTCCTTTTGTTATAAAGGAGAAAGTCAGAAATGTCATGCCATACGTTACTGTCGTCATACAGGTAGGTCATGGAGGACTGCAGAGAAGGCTGCAGAGTTTGCCGGTGGTATTCAAAGAGCCAGAGAACTGTCCCCCATACCAGAGCAGCAACAAGAGGAAAGGGATCCTGCTTTGGCTGTGGGACATAGCTCTTTTCCACTGCCAGCCGAGACAAGCCGAACAGGATACGAGACAGCAGGTACATAATGATCTGCATGAAGAGAAAACCCAAAGAACATTAGATAAATAACCTAACCAGATAAACTAGCCAGGTTAGGTGATTTAGAGGCAATAAGCCAGGCAAGAGGGGTGGAAATTTACCCAACCTGACAGCAAACAGGCTGTAGGTTCACATATCAAGCAGTCTTTGTAATTGGAAATGTGTGTCTTCCCTATGTCCTCCAAGTCCTACTTCTCTGCTGGTGCTCTAATTTAGTAATCAACAAGTTATGCCTGATGCAACAAATCTTTGCAGTTGCACAACTTTTATCTTTGCTCAGTTAATGCTACCTCAGATGCTGCTGCTGATAGAACAGTCATGGAGCAGCCCTGCTAACCTGCCAAGAAGATGCAATCTCGGTAGCCTGGACACATCCTAAAACCAGACTGAAGGTATGCTCTTGCAGGGGACCGCGTAAGTAAAACACTTTTATCTGTGTGTTTTACTGACGGATAAATCAGTGGCTGAGTGTCAACCAAACTTCCCCTGAGCAGCTTTTGTCAGTTTAACCAGTTTAGTTAAGCGTAGCTCAGTAACTGACTGTGCTCAGCTCTCACAACATTCAGGCTGTGGGGTTTAGCCCTGCAAGCGGGCAGGCCAGGAGTGCTCACAGTTACCGCAGCTCAGGGGCCAGGTGGGCTAACCCAACGGCTTTGCGTTGCGTCACTGCCTGCCTGCCTAGGTATGCACCTGCAGCTCTGGAGGCAAACCTCGGCTTTAGGCCCTCAAACTGCACACATCATTCGTGGAATCTCTAGGATTTGCGTGTAGCGCAGCCAAAACCAGAACTTGTGCAAAGAGAAATATGATGAAAGAATAATGCTACACGATCAGAACCACCAGAAACATGCCAGCCTATTCCAACCACTTCCTGGCACACAATCATCCATCTTCTGGGTTTTTTGTCAAGGAAACGGTCAACAAACGCACTTACCTGGCTGTTGATGGGGTTGTTCTCACCGAACACTAGCCAACCTCCAATGCAGGCTGCAAAGAAAGAATGAAATGGAATTTTTTTCCCCTGTAGTCGGGACTGCAACGCCATCAGCCCCTTGTAGGTGAACACAAAATACGCCAAGTTCCGGGAATGAGTGTACGTAGCCTGAGCAATCGATTTCAATTTCTCTCTTAAACTGAAGAAAAGAAACAGACAATTAGAAGAGCAAGAAGGCAGTACCACTGCAGCCACCCAGCCTGCACACTATGCCTCCCGGGGCTGCCCATCCAGACTGACAGCTTGGGCATCCCATCTACTTTGTGAGGGAGGACACATCCCTCCACCTCTGGCTCGCTCATCAGAATACATTCAGCAGCTCTACTCAGACTGCACTGCGCTTCTGCCTCATTCTCTGAATAGTCAAGGGCGCCTTTTTTTTAGGGTGGTTTTTTTTTTGGCTAAGTGCAAACCTCTGGCGTAACTGGGGAGAGCCACAACGTGCACTGCTATAGCTTGGCTTCCCTTATTTGAAGGAAGAGCAGAGCGTTGCTGTTTGCATCTGCAAATTTCTCCTCTGCCCACCAGCTCTCATCAAGCACTGTACAAGTGCATGCCCCCACGCGTACGCCACGTGTATGCACACGAGTTGTCCGGTGTAGCTGTCAGATCAAGGGGCTGTGGCCATGGCTCACATCTGTCTGCGTGCTAAGTCCTCTGGAAACACGAACGTTGAATGCTTGAATCAAAGCATTCTAAGCAGTATCACAGAAATACAGAACTAGGGTTCATACCTTCCACTCTTGAACAGGAATGTCATCACCAGGGCATGTGGAGCACGAATTTTTGCTCCGTAACTGCAAAAGCGAATAGGTATTTCAGGCTTTTTGTATCATGGTATCACACGACTGCATTTCTATTCTGCTGGCAGCGAACAGGGGCTATTGAAGCAAGACCTCGAAGTCAGCCCAGCAGCCGCAGCACACCGCGCCAGGGGAGCCCAGGCCACCAGCTTACCAGAACGTGCGCCCCAATAAGCCAGGCCCAAAGGGGACCCCAAAACAGGTTAAAACCCCGCTTTTCGGTGAGGGAGACAGAAACGCCTCTCCTGAACCCCCACCACGGCCTCCTTACAGGAGAGGAGGGCACACGGCGGCCCT